TATCCACTGCACCACCTAACTTTTTAGTGCCCCCAGGCAAATATCAAAGATTAGACATTATAGATAAGTAGCTTTTCTGAATTTGGGGAGGGGAGTTTCCACACTGGGAGTTTCTTATAATGAAGAAATCTCAAGTCTGGGTCTGAGAGAGACAGATGGACAGAGACAGAGACAGAGTCAGAAAGACAAACAGAGAGATAAATAGACAAGAGAGAAACAGAAGGAGACAGAGAGACAGAGGATAGAGAATATTCCCAAATAGTTTATCGTTGGCTTTGAAGTATATTATATGAAATTCATGCTGCAGATTTTACTTTTTGACCATATTTTGTTTACAATGATTAAACATTCATTCCCTATACCCTTTACCTTCGTCAAGGATGAAGGGGAGCAGGAATATTGGGGTGAGGGAGGAATTTAAGCACTGGGTAGATAGAAGCCATATAATAAGATGGACATAAGAAATGGAGAGTTTGAAGGTAACAGACATCAAATCTACTTCGATACTCCAGTTGGCTGACAGTGGTGTAAGTGCCCTGACTCTCCACTTGATTTAGCTGGTGTAGACACTGTCATGCAGCAAAATGAACCAGCTGGGATCTCCCCAGACCCACCCCAGGTCCGTGGAACCACAACATCATTGGCCCACGCCACCCAAACCATTCCCCCTGAGAATCCCCCACCCACAATATGGTAGACCAAGTGTCATCTGGCCTCTGGGTCAAGATTTCTGAGGAGGAAGAAGCCCAGCAGCTCCCTGACCTCAAACCCAGACTCTCCTCTTCGCTAATCCAGCCCCCAACTCATAACTCTGCCCTCTGGGAGAGAGGAGAAGAAATCTAATCCCTCCTCCATGTCAGGGGTGGGGAACCTGCGGCCTCCACACCACAAATGTTCTGAGAAGTTTGGATTCAGTCAAAAGGCCGCATTTGAGGACCTAGAGGGCCACGTGTGGCCTCGAGGCCGCAGGTCCCCCACCCCAGATTAACCTTTCAAAGGCTTGGCCACAGCTAGCCCATCTCTCCTCTGGCTTCTCTTCAAAGCGCTGCCCTGCTCCCCCAGGTCCTTCTAACACTCTTCATCCAGCAGGAGTGGGTTCTCCTCCTTTGGACACTCTTCAGTTTATCAGTATCCTTCCTGAACCGTAGGGCCCAGAATAATAATTTCCACTTGCATGATATAAAGATTATACTTATATTATGTAATGTATTATGTTACATAATTATGATTGTATCTAATATAGTAAATTATATAATAGTAAATAATATAGTATGTTATGTAATTATATTATATAATATAGTATATTATATATTATGTTATATGATTGTATTATCTAATACATTACATTATCTAATTATATTACATAATATATATTATAAAATATATAATGTAGTACATCATATAATTGTAATAGTATATAATATAGTACATATATAATTATATTATTTAATGTAGTACATTATATTATTGTAACATTACAAAATATCTTATGTTAGATAATTATATTATCTAATATATTACATAATATATTACATAATATGTCATATGATCATAAAGTATATAATATAATACATTACATAATTATATCATATCATGTAGTGCATTGTATTATTGTAATATTATATATTGTTATATGATTATATTATATAGTATGTTACATCATATAATTATAATATTATATAATATATCATAGCATATGATTATAAGGTATATGAGTTTTCTCACCAGAGAGTCCTCTATACCAAAGAAATCAAAGGTCAAGGACCTTTCCCCTATCACATCTCTAAGATTCATAACCTTCAAGGATTCCCTGAGGCCTTGAGAGTTTCAGTGACTCACAAGCAGAAGACAGACTTGAACTTCTTGATGCCAAGACCAGCCCTCTCTCCACCGGGCTGTGCTGCCTCTCACAGCTCATATTTACAAGGTTTGCAAGGTGCTTTACATCATTATCCCATTTGATTCTTACAACATTTGAGTCATTTCAGTCATGTCTGATCTTTGCAACCCCAGCTGGAGTTTTCTTGGCAGAAATACTGGAGTGGTTTGCCATTTCCTTCTCCAGCTCATTTTATAAATGAGGAAACTGAGACAAACAGGGTTAAGTGACTTGCCCAGGGTCACACAGCTAGTAAGTCTCTGAGGCTAGATCTGAACTCAGATCTTCCTGACTCCAGGCCTGATGCTCTATCTGCTGCACTATCTAGCTGCCTCTCTTACCATGAGGTAGATGCTATTATTATGTCCATTTTGAAGATGAGGAAACTGAGGCTTACTTCTATTAAGTATCTAAGGTGGTAATCAAACCCATGTGTCTCCTGACTGCAGATCCCTTCTTACTCCAGATACAAAAGCCTAGTCACAGCCTCAAAACTGATTACAATTCTCCAGGTATGATCTGCCCAGGACAAAGTGCTTCGATAATCCTGCTCCTTGCAAGGCAGCCTAAATTCACTTTTATTCACTTTGTTGGCTCCAATGTCAGGCTGCTGACTCAGACTGAGCTTGCAGTCCACCAACCCCTCCTCCCTCCACTCCTTCTCCAGACAAAACGGCTCGCTACTCAACATCTCCCATTCTCGGGGAGTTGACTTCTTAACCCAAGGGTAAGACTTTACATTGAACCCTGTTGAATTTCATCTTACTCAGTTTGGTTCAATGTTCTGGCCTGTCAAATATGGATTCTGTCATGTAGAATGTTAGCATACCTTCTAAGCCAAGCTTGGGATGGGGTCAGTATGTGGATGTGGCCAGATTTGGAAACCAGTGATTTGATAGGTTCCTGAGACTCGTAACAGTAACTCCAGTTTCTAACAGCGTTTTATTGCATCCAAAGCACTTCCTTTACAAGAACCTTGTGAAGTAGATAATGCAAGTATTGTCATCCACATTTTATAGATGAGAAAACTAAGGCAAAGGAAGTGAAGTCACTTTGCCCAAGGTAACACAGGAGGTGAGTGGCCCAGATCCTTTTCCTAAAACCAGTGCACTTTCTACCCTGGGACTTCAGAGACCTGGTTTCATTCTTTCCCTGTCTACAATGGTAAGAGTAATCTTTGTGTCCCAAGAGTATTAACACTATGAGGCAAGAGGGTGTTAGAGGCAGAATTAGAGTTGGAATAAAGATCAAGGGTTTGGGTAAGCTTTGGCTCTAGGGATAAGGGTTAAGGATGGGGGTGGCGCCAGCCTTAAGGCGTGAGAGTTGAGTTAAGGGAAGATTTGGAGAAGGGCTGGGTTCAGGGAGGGAGCTAGGGCTGGGGTCTGACAAATGCATGCCACCATTCACGGTCTCATAGCTAAAGAAGCCTTTTGCACATGCTTCGGTCTGAAGCTCCACTCTCATTTGGGGCAGGCTGCCTGGGAGGTGAGGGCTCAGCGGAACATGAGGCCAAAATTAGAATAAATGATCAGAATAACGCTAGAATACAGGTCTATAGGGTTCAATTAAATGATATGATTTGGGACAAGGCTTGGGCTAGAGTTAGGAGGGTTAAGTACTGGGGTTGGGTGTGTTGGGGTTAGGTCCTGGAATGTGATTGGAGCAAATTATTAGGTTTTTAATTGTGGTTAGTATTGAGAATCAGGATAGGGATGAAAGTTTAGCTGTGTTGTGCAGTCGTGTCTGACTCTTTGTGACCCCATTTGGCGTTTTCTTGGCAGAGATAGTGGAGTGGTTTGGCATTTCCTTCTCCAGCTCATTTGACAGAAGAGGAAACTGAGGCAAGCAGGTTAAGTGACTTGCCCAGGGTAACTTACAGCTTGTAAGTGTCTGAGCTGGACTTGAATTCATAAAGATGAGTCTTCCAGATTCCAAGCCCAATGCTCTATCCATTGCCTCCTAGCTGCCCTTTCATGAAAGTTAGGGATTAGAAAGTTAGAGTCAGGATTCAGGACTGTTTTTCAAATTGTGATTAGATCAAGACATCAGTATGCAGATGGGGTCAGGGTCCAAGATCAGCATGTAGACATGGTCAGATTTAGATTCTGGGATTCAGATGAGGGTCAAGATCAGATGAGGATTTAGAACAGGGTTAGAAACTAGGATATGGGTGGATTGTAGAGCTTACAAAGTGGCATCGTGGATAGAGTGCTAAGCCTAGAGTCAGGAAGACCTGAGTTCAAATCCAGCCTCAGACCCTAAACAAGTTATTTAGCCTCTATCAGCCTCGGTTTCCCCTTCTGTAAAATGGGGGGGGTGGTCTTGCACCTAACTCACAGGATTGTTGTGAGAATAAAAAACTAAGATAATATTTGTAAAGCACTTTGCAAACCTTAAAGCACTATATAAAACCTGGCTACATCAATTTTGAGCCAAAAGGTGCTTTAGGAGTCATTGCATCCAACCCCCACATTTCACTGATGAGGAAACTGAGACCCAGAGAGACTAAGTGACCTGGCCACAATCATAGAACTAGGAAGTGTCTGAGGCAGGATTTGAACACAGTTCTTGCTGACTGACCCTTTGTCTAGCAGTCTATCTATTACACCATGTGGTCTCTATGTATTAGGATACATCTTGGAACCAAAATAAAGGCCTGACTAGGTGCCACTCTGCATCATAGATCATAGAATCAGACCTGGAAATAACCACAAAGACCATGGAGTTCAACCTCCCCATTTTACAGATGAGGAAACCAAGTCTGAGAGAGATGAATTGACTTGTCCAGGGTCACCCAGGTAGCAAGCATCATCAGAGGTGAGATATGAACACAAGTCTCACTCCAGAGTCAGAGATCTTCCTACCATAATACTTTGCCTCTGGGCCACTTCAAATGAGCTGCCAACCTACACAAGTGGATAGAATTTCCATAGCAAGGAATTCCCTCCACTCATGAAAACCATGGTTCAGACTAGTTCAGACCAAAGATATAGAGCCCTGGAGATCCACTCCTCCCCAAAATTTTTTCAGCCCTTGTCCAGAGCAGAGACATTTCTATCTTTTGTTTCTCTACTCATCATCACCCCCTGCTCACCTTTCCTCACCAGAAGGGAGGAATTACCTTGATCTTGACCTAGGTGACGGCTGCAATCTCGGATCCAAAAGGAGGGGAAAGAGGAGCACCCCGAATCGAGCCAGGAGCCCCTGGCCCCTCTGCCTTCCCTGGAGCTCTGCTCCACCTCAGTCTTAGGAAGAATATAAAGCCATTCCGGTCCTTCCTCTTTTCCCAAAACCTCAGCCCCCTCCCCCCTCCCCATTGAGAAGTAGTTTGTACAATTGCATAATGCCTGAGATATGTGTGATTGACTTTCAAATGTTTTATTGGGTAAAAGGATAAAGCTTAGAGCATTCACGATAGCTTTCATTGTATCAGTAGCTTTAAAACTTCTGCTGTTGTGACAATGAAAAACAATTGAAAAGGCCAAGTAAAAATGATAGTTCTAAATGAACTATTTTCAATTTTATCCTAGAAATCATAGGGAATCACTGAATTTCTTTCAGGTCCATTTAAATATTCACAGATGTCTTTCCATACAGATACCAAAAGACACAGGCTTTAGGTATGTCTTAGTGACAGTTTGGGATATGTTTTAGTAACTGGATATATTTTAGTCATTGTTTATAAGGTCCCAAGATGGATTGAGACTTTTCAAAATAAGACTGTTTTAAATCATAATTTTTGGGGGGAAATGAAAAGATAAAGAGGAAATAAATGTTACCCATCTCCTTTACAAAACAATTTAAACTACTGTACCTAGAAGTATACAATATATGCATGTACATTGAGAACTGAGAATGGAAATATTGTGGTCCCCAGAATGACCAGAAATTATGTGTCAAACCACAAAATAGGTGAGGAAAAGTTCAAAGAAATTTCTTTTTTTTTTAAGATTCATTAACTTATTTATTTTTAGCTTTCAACATTCACATCCCACAAGATTTTGAGTTCCAAATTTTCTCCCCATCTCATCCCTCCCCCAGCCTCAAGACAGCATGCATTCTGAATACCCTTTCCCCTAATCTGTCCTCCCTTCTATCCCCCCACAACCCCCCCTTCTTTTATCCCCTTTCTCTTCTATTTTCCTATAAGGCAGGATAGATTTCTATACCCCATTGCCTGTATATCTTATTTCCCAGTTGCATGTGAAAACAACTTTTTAACATTTGTTTTTAAAACTTTGGATTCCAAATTTTCTCCTTTCTCCCTCCCCATCCACCCACATTGAGAAGACAAACAACTCAATACAGATTATACTTATGTAGTCATGCAAAACACTTCCATAGTAGTCATGCTGTGGAAAACTATTTCCTTTCATCCTATCTTGCCCCCTGTTTATTCTATTCTCTCTTTTGACCCTGTCCCTCCTCAGAAGTGTTTGCTTCTGATTACCCCCTCCCCCAATCTGCCCTCCCCTTTATCATCTCCCTGCTCTCTTATATCCTTCCCCCCTATTTTCCTGTATGCTAAAATAGCTTTCCATACCCAATTGAGTGTGTATGGTATTCCAAGCCAAATCCAATGAGAATAAGATTCACTCATTCCCTCTCACCTTTCCCCACTTCCCCTCCACTGTAAAAGCCTTCTCTTGTCTGTTTTACCCCACTCTACCTCTCCCCTTCTCCTTCTCCCAGTGTAATCCTCTCTCACCCCTTAATTTTATTCTCCAGATATCACACCTTCATCTTCAACTGACTCTGTGCCCTCTATCAATCTATCTATACATATATTTTTTCCCTCCAACTACCCTAATACTGACAAAGGTCTCCTCATGAGTTACAAATATCATCTTTCCATGTAGGAATGTGAACAGTTCAACCTTAATAAGTCTCTTATGATTTTTCTTTCCTATTTACCTATTCATGCTTCTCTCGAGTCTTGTATTGGAAAGTCAAATTTTCTATTCAACTCTGGTCTTTTCATCAAGAATGCTTGAAAGTCCTCTATTTCACTGAATGACCATTTTTCCCCTGAAGGATTATACTCAGTTTTGCTGGGCAGGTGATTCTTGGCTGTAACCCTATCTCCTTTGCCCCCCAGAATATCATATTCCAAGCCCTGCAGTCCCTTAATGTAGAATCCTGTGTTATCCTTATTGTGTTTCCACAATAGTTGAATTGTTTCTTTCTGGCTGCTTGCAATATTTTCTCCTTGACCTGAGAACTCTGGAATTTGGCTACAATATTCCTAGGAATTTTCCTTTGGGGATCTTTTTTAGGAGGTGATCAGTGGATTCTTTCCATTTCTATTTTATCCTCTGGTTCTAAAATATCAGGACAGTTTTCCTTGATAATTTCTTGAAAGATGATATAAAGGCTCTTTTTTTGATCATGGCTTTCAGATAGTCCAATAATTTTTAAATTATCTCTCCTGGATCTATTTTCCAGGTCAGTTATTTTTCCAATGAGATGTTTCACATTGTCTTCTATTTTTTCATTCTTTTGGTTTTGTTTTACCATGTCTTGATTTTTCATCAAGTCACTGACTTCCATTTGCTCCATTCTAATTTTTAAGAAAGTATTTTCTTCAGTGAGCTTTTGAACTTCCTTTTCCATCTGGACAATTCTGCTTTTTAAGGCATTCTCCTCATTAGCTTTTTGGACCTCTTTTGCCATCTGGGTTAGGCTATTTTTAAGGTGTTATTTTCTTCAGTATTTTTTTGGGTCTCCTTTAGAAAGTTCATGATTTTCTGGCATCACTCTCATTTCTCTTCTGTTTTTCCTCTACTTCTCTTATTTGCTTCTCAAAATCCTTTTTGAGCTCTTCCAAGGCCTGGGACTGATTCATATTCTTCTTGGAGGCTTTGGATATAGCTGCTTTGACTTTGTTGTCTTCTTCTGGTTGTATGTTTTGATCTTCTTTGTCACCAAAAAAAGGTTCTATGGTCTGATTGTTTTTGTGCAGTTTGCTCATGATCCCAGCCAATTACTTGAGTTATAAACTCTTCATTAAAGTAGGGGTCTGCTTCCAGTGCGGAGAATGTACTGTCCCAAGCTTCAGGGGGTTTGTGCAGCTGTTTTCAGAGATACTTCTAGGAACCTGTAAATTTTCAATTCTTCCAAGGTGGTATGATCAAGGACAAGGTGTTTACTCCTTTCCTGACCTGTGCTCTGGTCTATGAGTGACCACAAGCACTCTTTTCTGCCTTGGAACTGTGAGGAGGATTCCCTCTCCACTGCCACCACAGCTCCACCATGCCCCGGGATGGCCACCCAGAACTGTGACCCAGATCCAAGCACAGGCAAAGCAAGAGAATCCTGCCTCAGCACCAGCATAGACATCCTTGCAATACCCCTCTGATCAGCCACTCAATTACCCCTCAGTCTGTAGGCCAGAAACTCCAGAAATAGCCACAACCCTGGGGCCAAGCTCTCACAGTGGGCACAGACTTTTTCTACTGACCTTCTAAGTTTTCTTTGGCATTTGTGGGTTGAGAAGTCTGGAAACTGCCACAGCTGCCCATGATTCAGTCCTCTGAGGCCTGCTTCAGGATCGCTGAGGCCTGTTTTGCCAGCACACCCATGCTGAACTGCTTTTCTCTCCTGGCACAATAGACCTTTCTAATCAACCATCCAGGTTGTCTTGGGCTGGAAATTTATTTTGCTCTGTCTTTTTGTGGGTTCTGCTGCTCTAGAATTTGTTTAGAGCCATTTTTTACAGGTATTTGGAGGGGTTTGGGGGAGAGCTCAAGCAAGTTACTGCTTTTACTCCACCATCTTGGCTCTGCCCCCAAAGAGATTTCTAAAGCATTAACTTGGCATTCTGGAAAAAGAAAAAGAAAAAACAAAGGAAGGTTCAGTGGAATACCATCATTCTCTATAAGCAATACAATTTTTTTTTATTATTTTACAAATAAAAACTAAAAATCCAGTAGCTAACCTATCCAAAGAGATAAATGAACAGTAAATAGGGGATACAGTATTCTCTATTACTCACTCAGAAATTTCTGCTTGCCCTAAGCAAATTGCCAAAGATGACTTCCCCTCCCTCCTTTAGTAACTGCGGCTATATTTCCTACAAAATCGTAAGATAAAATAATTTAAAACTATTAGGCTCATCAAACACAATAGGTCTTTATAGTCACACAATCCTAAAGCGTGTAGCTTTAGAAAAAGGTTTGTCTCAATTTGTTGAAACTCATACATTAAAACGACTGGTTGTCCAAAGCATTTTGGTATGTGCAAGATAGTTTTAAAAATAATAATAATAAATCTAGATCTTATTTTAGAAATTCTTCTTATATGGGAGATTTTTTAATTTATTTTTAAACTTTATTTGTGTTTGAGTTCTCTCTCTTTCTCACTCCATATATATATAAAGACAAAGAGACAAAGAAAGACTATTTTTACAAAATCAGGTCTTCTGAATTCAAATCCAGCCTCAGACACTTGACACTTACTAGCCGTGTGACCCCGGGCGTATCATTTAACCCTTATTGCCTCACCAAAAAAAAAAAAAAAAAAGTCAAGTCTTAAGGGATCCTTTAACAGACTGCAGTTTCCCCACCAGGGAAGGATCCTTGCTCTGGAAGGCTTCGCTCAGAAGCACTTTTCATTTTCTGGGCCATGTTCCAATTTACTCCAGGAAGTTGATGAAATATTGATTACATATTAAAACATGAAATCTACTATCTACAGCTGATTCAGAACACCCACTACTTTGGAGTACTCCACTCTCTCAGGTCTCCTCCCACAATTCTCAGAGATTAAAACACAGTATATTGAGATCTCACCATTTTGATAATGTGGCACAAAATACATACATACATATTGTGTGTATATGTGTGTGTACTTACATACATACATAGATGGATATACAAGCTTTGATAGCTGCCAGACCTCAGCCATTTCTGAGTGATCCTGTTCATAGCTCCAATCCTTGATACCCACACTTCTCCATCATTAGCATTCAGGCTCCCCATTCAGGCTACCATTGTCTCTTCTCAGCTTCTAGTGCTGTCGTCTTGGAGAAAAAAGGTAAAAGTAAAGAAGGGAAAAAAAGAAGACACAAAGCACAAATATCTTTTTATCCTGTTGCACTAATTCCTTGCCTTTGAGTCTTTTGAAATCTCACCTTCATCTCTTCTCTTTTTATAGAGAAGTTGAGGTTATGTGCAGGGAGGACCTCAGAATTTAGAACCATCTAGGCTCCTCTGAATTGTAAGAAGAGACT